CTCTCTCTCTCTCTCTCTCTCTCTCTCTCTCTCTCTCTCTCTCTCTCTCTCTCTCTCTCTTTGAATGTGAATTTTTATGGGAATGTGAATCTATACGATGTGTTTAGTCTGATCTTGAAGAATCATTTCAGATCAATAATCGGTCTTTCTGCTTGTAGTTTATCCTTCTTTCTTGACGTCCCTCGTCTCGAGTCCGAATTGTACAATCTTCGCAAACGACCATGGGGTCGCGTACGTGATCGACATCAGTGAACATTCAATGAAGGAAGCAGAAGTCACAGAGTTAGAAGACGCCGTTATGACGACCAGTTTCTTCCTGTACACTCGGTGAATATTACAAATCGAAAGTGGATCGCTGCCAAGAATCGGAAATGGCAAAACCAATCTCATTCTCCTCTGTCTCTCCAGAAACAATTTGAAAGTCGGCCAGGAACTATACATCAACGACTTGGACAGCGTAAGGAACAGTTATTGGGATCCCAAACGTTCTACTCGTTTCGTCACTCATGGTTGGCAAGGAAGTATCGATACGGTTGCCTGTGTTCTCATTCGAGATGGTAAGGTCACCGGCAATATTTAGAACACCACGACAGTTTTAGACTCTAATTCTTAATTCCCGATTCCTCCCCTCGACTCTCCAGATTGCCGACATAAAATCACGGATTTCATATCGGGGATAATTCGGGGATAACTTAATTTTTTAATTATTTTATATATAATCACAGATTCCTCTGCCTTCATGGATCTCCTATATGGAATCTAAGATTTCTTTTTGTTCTCGGATTCTTTCCGCTTCTCTGCGATTCTTAAATCTTTGGACGTTTCAACACCAAAACTTCCAAATCCCAGAAAATTTCTCTGCTCGATCTCGACGATTAATTTCATTAATACTCTTCGACACCCTCAGCATATCTCAAAAGTGGCGATTACAACGTCATCCTGGTCGATTGGAGGCAAGCGGCCAGTTACATCTATTGGAAATCGGTATACAATATACCGAAAATAGCGAGTCGCACGACTCTTATGCTGGACTTCCTGCGGAAACACGCGGGTCTGAATCCAAAAACGACTAAACTGATCGGGCATTCGTTAGGAGCGCACGTCTGCGGACTTGCTGCTCGTTTCGCGGGTGACAAGATCAACGAAGTAGTCGGTGAGTGAACTGATTAGAACACAATATATTTGTTCTTGACTGCGCAATACCTATACCTGCATCTGTTGATTTTAATTTAAAGAGAAACCCAATCTTTCTCGACGAAAATAAAATGACACAAGGAATAATAAAAAAGCCGACGAAGTAAATATAGAGAATGATCATAAATAATAATAAATATAAGACGATGAATCAATATAGAAAGTAATGACAAGGTCGAGAAAAAAGAAAGGGCTTCGCTTTTTAGGGGCTACCGTGATTTCGAAAAATAAACTAAGGAAGAATTTTGGGCGAAAAAGCAAAGAGACAAAAGAGTTAGAACTCGCGCTAATAGAAAAGCAGAAACGACAGAGCAACTGTCATTTCTGTTTTTCTAAGGTAAATCCTCATAAGAACATCGTCAATTTCACAGCTTTGGATCCTGCGGGACCCATGTTTTCGGGAAAAGAACCAGGCTACAGAGTAGACAAGACGGACGCACGTCGGGTTCAGGTGATACACACAAACGCAGGAACTCTGGGCATGCAGGAGGCAATTGGCACCGCTGACTTTTATCCGAATGGTGGCAAGAGACAGCCGGGATGCAAACTTGACTTGATAGGTAAATAATGACAGATTCAACCGGATGCATCGGTACGCGCGCAAAGGCTGTCGTACACAAATTGAGGCAAAAGCGCGTGGCATGAGCGCGAATTACACGAGCGTTTGAAGCAACCTGTGAACCACTGAGTTACCGGCTTGTTTGACAGAGCAAACACAAGGTGCCCCCCTACATACGTAACATGAGCACCGCGAGAGATTCATGCACACTGCATAAAGAGAAATCGAAACGGAATGAATTCCTGTTTCCATAAAAAGTTTTCGAGTTCCATTACTCGAGAAAGGTCGTATTAACGTGAGAAAAATGCATAACAGTGCGTGAAATTTCACGCTCGAGAAGTTGAAAGAGATAATTTTAATCGTTGATTTCTTTTGGATTTTTGTTAATTGCATATATATATATATATATATATATATATATATATATATATATATATATATATGTGTGTGTGTTCTTTCTTAAAGTGAAGTAAAAATCGTGAGAAAAAATTAATAGCAGCGAGTGAGATTTCATGGTTCGACATACAAAGCTGAAAGCAGTGATTTTAATTGTTAATTCCTCGCACTTTTTGAATTTCTGTCAACTTTCGTCAATTGCATTTGTGTATTTTTTTCGGAAATGAAGTAAAGATTATGAGGAGAAAATAAATAGTAGCGAGTAAACTTTCAGATAACGAAGTTAAAGGGCTGATTTTGATTGTCGATTTCTTGCATTTAATTTTCGCCAATTAGATATGCATCTTTTTTGTTCTCTCGAAAATAAAGTAAAAATCGTCGACTGCCGGAATAACACTTCACGCGCGACGAGCCGCGTTACGGTCACGGACTTTAATTCGCACAGCTGTGGTGGCGCGTCAAGTGCAACTAAGCGAATTCGTCGTAAGGTTCGCGGCGATGATCAACGCTTGTTGGTTCATTACGTTAACGAGCTAATTGACGCGTCAATATGCAGGTACGTGTGCGCATTCGAGATCTTACATGTACTACGCCGAATCCATCCTGAATCCCAAAGGTTTTCGCGCTGACGATGTGTTCATGGGAGGACCGGTTCTCGATCCGCAGTAAGTACAACATAGGTTTTCCTATTTTCTCTTAGTTTCCTTTCCAGAGATGGAAAAATTCCTCTTTAACTTGGCTTCGTGAGAAATTGCGCTTTTTCAACGTTGCCTCAGGTGCTGAGCGACTATATATGTGCGTGCGTGTGTGTGTCCAAGGATATTAAAAACTATTTGCAGGAACATACACACACTGCACTTTGACCAATCTTTCCTTTCTTATAAGGTCAAGAAATAAATGTCATAAATTTTATTTGATGAATCGATAAACATAAAGTTTGATCGGACCTGGATATATTGAGCATCGTATTTTTTTATGTACGAATGAAGAAGAATAATAACGACCCTTTTGAAGGTTAGATGTGATCGACTAATGCGACCGTTTATTTGTTAATTTCAGTGCAAAAGGAGAATACACTCTGGAAACTAACAGCGAGTCGCCGTTCGCCCTCGGATAATGACCTGTTCTTCTTATAGTTGTTACTTTTGTAAAAATATTTATAATATTGAAGATAACTTTTTTAAAAATACACTGTAGTACCAGACCAAGTCATTCCGTTAGCTCACTAACGACGAACATACTAGCATTGATAATGAATGTTCACGTGTCCAGATTATTCACTTGATAAATCGATTAAATTATAAAATTTAAAAACGATTGAGTTCATAAAATGTATTACTAACGGAATGCAATGCAAGTCTACTACTGAGAGTTAAATATACTAGTCAATAGAATATTAGTCCGAATATTATATATTACATAGTAAATTATGATATGGTAATATCATAATTTGTGCTACATTATAACATAGCTATGCTGATTGTTATTATATTTTACTTCTCTCTCATAATAGTGAGTAATAATAACAACAGTATATATATAATTATATATATATAAACTTATATATATCTATATATATAATACACAATATATATAGCATATATATAGAGTATATATAGATACATATGTAATATATAAAATTAAATATAAGTCAAAGTACAATAAATGTGCAAAGTATATTACAAACTTACCGCAACCATGTCTTCGATAGCCTGCGTGGATTTGGATCCCAGCATAACCATTCCCATGGCGATTCCAGCGGCTTCACCGGTCACTGCGTCGTCTTGGTATAAGTTGAACTTTAGTTGCTCGTAAACGTCTTGTCTATGAGACCCCATGGCGGCTAACCCGAGCCCGAGACAACCACCATGACGGACCATCTGAAACAAGTTCCGAAATACAAATTGCATCGTGCGAATCTAACTTTCGATCTTGGATTAAACTTAGGCTCACAACTTTCTTTTGTTATAATTTAATGAATAACGATAGTAAGAAATAAAATACGATTACAAAAAAAGTAGCACGTTCCATTGAGAAATAATTATTTAACGCATAGTTTCTGAAGAAATATTACGAGGAAATTTGATATGAGAAATTTTATATGGAAATGCATTCTACCTCGTTTTGAGCGTCCTTTAATTGACCTAGGAGGTAGTCTGTAATAGCGGCGCCGTGGTTAGCATGAATCAATCCCAAGGCGTACAAACCACCGCCCTCAGAATATCCAGCACCAGCGGCACCAGAATCTCTCGGTAAGTAAGACTGCATTAGAGCCAAAGCTTCCTGTTCATGTCCCCGATGTATTACTCCCAGGGACGCAGTTGCAGTCAGTTTTGCCCAATTAGTAGCTCGAGCCAGCCACTCCAAGTTGTCTCTGAAATTACATGGAAAAGTTCTCATATTTCTGGAAAAACTCCGAAACTTCTCGTATAATTCTAGGATTAAAAATAAGGAAAATGTATACAAGACCTCGTTTCTTTTCTTATATTCTTATTTCTATTTTTTATCGAGAAATTTTAACGAGTAAAAACTTCAAGAACTTAGTAACAGAATGAAATTTCTACATTAAAGAAAATTTTCAGAAATAGATATGAACCTAAGAAATTGATCGCTAGTCGTTCCTGAATGCATGAAGGCGTTAGCAATCACGGTGGCGGTGTGACAAATCGAAACTCGTATGGCGTCCTTCGTGTTTTTCAGAATCAACATATCGGTGTGATTGCTGCGAATAAGAAACTGCAAGTGCAGATCGATCGAGACCTCGCCGCCCAAAATACTAGACAGAGCATCCACGCGTTCTTGCTGTTCTCTCTCTTCTGCATTCTAGAAAAAAATATCATAAAAACACCAACAACAAAACATCAATAACAAAATAATTATAAATATCCGAAATCATTTTTATATTATGCTAAATATATTATACTAATTGAAATATTTGTTTTATGAAAATAATAATATAATATAAAATAATATAAAATAATATAATATAATATAATATAATATAATATAATATAATATAAAATAATATAATATAATATAATATAATATAAAATAATATAATATAAAATAATATAAAATAATATAAAATAATAATATAAAACAGTGTGTAAATTTAACCATGACATTTAAATAATATTCTTTAAGTTTCTCCAGCAGATATATGTAATACTTACCAAACTTTCGACACTGCGTTCGGCTTTATCTTCCGCAGGAGCAGCGCTGCTATCGGTCTCCATACTCGCGGATTCCGTGGTAGTTTCAACCGACTTGGTGTTGGCGGCGGCGGGTTTAACCACGGGTTTAACCATCAGTGCGCCCGGAATGGGCGCGGTGGCACGCAAAGCTTGCAGGACGCGTCCGAGGAATTGTTGCGTCGCAGACTCATATAGATCGAAAGCGATCTGATACGCCATCAGTACGCAGTCCTGCGAGCCCTTGCTCAGTCGGTCGAGGAGCTCGGCTACGGCCAGTGGATCGTCCAAGAAGATCAAACATTGACACATATTGACGTAGTCGGGGGTGCCCAGATTTCGATACAGACTGACCAGGCACCGTAGTACGGTGTTGCGAAATCCGCGGTTTTGGATGAGACTCATGGCGACTTGAAAGGCGTACGACAGCATTCCGCTCACGTCATCCTACAAAGAAAATGAATTTCATTGCATTTATTGACAAAATATCCTGGACGAGTTTATGCTCAATGGATTAGTTCTCTTTCATAGTTTATCATTAAAAATCGATATAAATCAACATCTTGAACTTTAAGGTTCCTAGATACTCGCCGCGGAATTCTTAATTGATGTCAGAAGCGAGAAAACGGATGCCAAAAATTCTTACATATCATTTCCAAAGGAAGATATTTATATAAAACAACACTTCTACATACTTTCAACATACTTGTAAAATGCTCCAAAAACTATTGTTTTATCTTGACAACCAATAGTCATAGAATTATCGTGACAAACAATCTTCCTCTTTAATCTGTTTTTCTTCATGATTTTGACATTCATTTTATGGCTATTTGACTATCAAGGGAAAAAATAGTTTTTAGAACATCTACAAATATGCTCAAACAATTTGTAATATTTTTTCATACAAATATATTTTTATTTGGAAATGACATGCAAAAATTTTCAGCATGTCATTTCTCGCTTCTGACGTCACAATCCAATACTCTCACAACTCGCCGCGGCGAATACTTGGTAGTCATAAGTATTTTTTTATGCAGATAACGATTTTTTTTTCAGAACATATCTTTTCCATTTTATGTAAAAAAATTAAAATATAAGAGGAATTATTAAGGAATTATTAATTATTATTTACTAAATGAGAATAAATTGCTATTAATAACTATGAATATATATTACTGATTATACTTTGTATATATTGTCTAAATTGACAAACTCCAATGAAAAAATTGATACTCACAGACTGCATAATGGCTGCCTCAAATACATCCATTCTGCGTGTCTCAAGAGCAAGACCCAAAGCTTGACGATATTGATTGTCATCCAGACAGCGTTGAAACATTCTATTCACTATTCCTTCCAGTCTAGGGTCAATGCCCTTGCTACCCGAAGGAAGCTTACCCTCTGCCTCCAAAACACGTTGTTGAGTGTAGTAATCAATACACTTGGCTGAAAATTCAATTATATGAGTTCCTATCACCACAATAATTAAATATCACTATAAGAATGTTTTTACTATACCAATAGTAGTATCGACATATTCATTTCGAGCATTAACATCAAACAGTTCTCCAGCTCCAAGAGCATAAGTCAAAGAATCTTCAAAGCTACCCAAGTGATAGTATACTTTGCTGGCTACCAAGGCAGCTAGCTCGTGTTGGTTAAATGATTTGTCTTCATGTAGAATTTCGCTGCAGAAAGAATATTAATGTCTAGATTGTGATATTTTGAGTTTCAAACAGCATGAATTAATTTATTTCAAAGAACAATCTAATAGGTAAATAACATCTCTCTTGCAATAAATTTAATACTGAATAAAACATAACTTGATGGAGATATTATGTATTCTAAATTATATAAGAATAAATGCAATCATTATTTTCTTACTTACATCTTCTCTATAGCTTCAGAAATTTCTGGCCAAAATTCGTCAACTATCATATCCAGTTTTTTCAAAGCAAAAACTTTCAATTCAGGCATAGGCTCCTCCAGCAAGGAGATTATGCCAGCTGCAAAAAAAATTATTATATTCAAATTAAATTTATCAATTATTAAATTAAAATAAAATTAATCAATTATAAAGATAAATATCTATATTAAAACAGAGGGAGAGAAATGTCAAAATAAAATGTTCATACCTACAAAAGAAAGAATACATAATAGATAATAAAACAATAAATAAAATGTTAAAAAATTCTTTTTATTACTTAATAAATTCGTTTGAACTTTGTTGCTCTATTTTTGGGACACTCGACAATGGATACTCCGGAATTGTCGGAAGGAATTCGAGGTTGGGTCTCGCATGATTTGCAAATCATCGAACAAAAATTCATGTGTATTTAATCAAATTATTGCATAATGTACCACAATGAATGGAAAACTAATGTACTTTGATAAATCGATCGAAAAAAATTTGACATTTACCAGCTGAAGTGATATTCATCTTCATTGGGAGATAGCAAGTTCCTTGAAGAAAACAGAGAAACACGTTATGGCGGCGCGGCACGAACTAAAATTTATTTGAACCACTTCTTCACGTGAAACAGCGCCACTCCAGACAAGGTAACATAGCTACAAGAAAGTCTCCTAGATATCTAGAGACTTTCCCTATAGATTGTGCAAATCTTCGTAGCACAACTTATATTATAATAATGAGTTAGACGGACTTTATATTTTTTAATAATACGATTAAATAGGCTTTCATTAATCCTAATGACTTGGTTTATATCGTGCACTTGATACGTATATTAAATAGTAACTTTCTAATCTTAATATCAACGATATACAGGGTGAGTCATTTTAGTCTATGGATCCGAATATCTTCCAAATTACGGTATCTACAAAAAAATGGTTTAGATAAAAGTTGACCAGGACAGAGGGGGTCATTCAATTGTACCATTGGTTTTGACCTTGAGGTCAATTTTGAAGGTTACTTCAAG